ATACATATATATGTATATATGAATATGTGTGTAAATATATACATACATAACATATATATATATATAATATATATATATATATATATATATATATATATATATATATATATATATATATATATACATATACACATATATCATACACACACACGGACACACACACACATATATACAACACATATATATATGTGTATATTATATATATATATATATAATATATATACTATATATATAATATTTATAGTATATATTATATATATATATATATATATATATATATATGTATATATATATGTATATATATACATATACTATATATATGCCATATATATATATGCATATATATATATATAATATATATATATATATATATATATATATATATAATATATATATATATGCATATATATTATATATATATATATGATATATAATGTATATGCATATATATATGCATGTGGTGTGTGTGTGTGATGTGTGTGTGTGTGTGTGTGTGTGTGTGTTGTGTGTGTGTGTGCTGTGTGTCTATGTATTATGCACACACACACATTAGTACACACACACACACACACACACACACACACACACACACACACACACACACATATATTATATATATATATACACCATACATATATAAATATACATATATGCACATATAAATTTTTATACACATACACATGCCACACATATATGCATGTATATGTATATACATACATATAATATGCGCACGCACGCACACACGGCACACGCACACAACACACACCACACACGCACACGCACACACACCACATATATATATTCATATGCACACACACACACATGCTTATCTGTCATATGACAACATAACTGTCATGTAAGTGCGCCATTTTGGTTCCGATTATCTCTCTCATTACAGTAATTATCTCTCTATTACTCGTCATCCGATCCCTTGACTCATCGTCTTTCTTCTGGACTATCTTTATTCTTTTTTCAGTTCTCATCGTCTTCTCTTTCGTTATCTCCCTCTCTCGTTTATCATTTTTTTTTTTTGCCGTTATTTGGTGGTTTTCTGTCTCTTTTTATCTACTGTGTTCTTTGTTGTTATTGTTGTTTGTTCTTTCCTCCTCCTCTTCTCCTCTTCCTTCGTCTTCATCTCCTCCTCCTCCTCTCTCCTTCTCCTCCTCTTCCTTCGTCTTCCTCTCCTCCTCCTCATCTTCCTCTTCATCTTCTCCTCTTCCTCCGTCTTCATCTCCCTTCTCCTCCTCTTCCTCTTCCTTCTTCATCTCCTCCTCGTCTTCCTCTTCTTTGTCTTCATCTCCTCCTTCTTCTTTCCTTCGTCTCATCTCTCCTCATCTTCATCTCCTCCTCCTCTTCCTCCGCCTTCATTGGGTTTATTCTCTGTCTGTGGTTGTGTTTTCACGATCAATTATACGAATAGATTCATTATATATCATACAGGGATTTTACTCTTATTGTCTGTTTGTTCACTGTAATGACTGTTATTTGCGTCTCTCGCTCATGTCTCCTCATTAACTGTCATCCTTCTCTCCCTCCCTCTCCTTTTAGCCCTTCTCCCTACCCCCCTTAGCCTTCCCCTACTTCCCCCGCCTAACCCCCCCTTCCAGCCCTATCCAACCCCCTCCCTGCCCCCATTCCCTCTCCCCTTTTAGCCTTTCGCCCTCCCTCCCCCCCTCACGCATCTTAGCCCTTCAACCCCCCTACCCCCGTCCTTACCCTCCCTTTCCCTCTCCCCTCCTCTCCTTTAGCCTTTCCCTCCTCACTCGAGACAACACGCTCCCGACTCTCCTTTTCCTCCTCACCCTCTCCCCCTACGCCCCGTGGCCTGCTATTTTTAGGTCATTATTGCATCCGCCACGCACGAGCCAGCCCCCGGATCTGTCGTATGATTCGGTTCCCCGACTCTCTGTTTTAGGTCTCTTCCACTGGGTAGCCTAGTTCCGCGCGATCAGTGAGAGTCCCATTTTCTGATTCCGTTCTGCGCATCTACGCTCAGCCTAGTGCTGAATAGTGTCCAACTCGCCCGCCATGTCCACCATGCTCCGCCGTCCCTGCGTCCGGTTGCAGTTAGTGCCTTGTCGTCTATCACTACCAGTCATACCCCCTGTATCCTCCTTCTGACCTGCATATTTTTATCCACTTTGTTCTCGTCCGCTACCCGGTTTCTTTCCCTCGCTCTTGCTTGTTTCTGAGTCTTCCCCCTATCCTATTGCCCTTTTCGTCTACCTCCCGTCCACCAGGTCTCACCGTTTGTGAGCCGCTAGCCTACCTTTTTCTGCACCGCTTCGACCTGTTGATTAGTCCACTACCGCTTCCTTCTCCCTGACCTTTTTAAGCCCTTCCAACCTAACGCTCACCTTTCCCCCCTCACCCCTGCCCCCCTTTCTCCCCCCCGTCAGCTACTCACCATCCTAAGTTCCATATAGTGTCACTATCAATAGATGTTTCCGTCTTCGTTCGTGTCGTGTGTGTACAGCGCGTGCCTCCCCCCCCCTCGCCCCCTCCCACTACGCCGTGTCTTTTCTCCTATTTTCTCCCTGCATTTTCCTCCGTGCGCTGTTTTCTTCCTCTTGTCTTCTGTTTCCATGTTTCCTCTCATTCTTCCTTTATTTAACGCCTTTTCTTTCTTTCTTCTGCATTCTCTTAGGTCTCTTTTCTCCTTTCTCTCCTGTTTCTTTTCTTATATACCTCTCCTGTTCTTAATTTTTATCTTCCATCTTTCACTCTACCCTTCTTCCTCCTCTTCCTCCTCGTCTCCACTCCCCACTTGACTTCCTCCCTTTTTCCTTCTGCTGCTCTTCCTCCTCTTTCCACTTCACTTAACATTCCCCTTTCCCCAACTCCCCCCCCCCCCGCCTTTCCCTCGGCTCCGAGATCGACATGGGGAAGAGGGGTTTGGGGAGGAAAGGGGTGGGGAGTGGGGGAGGAGGGGAAGGAGAGGCTCGAAGGGAGTGGGGGTGAGGGAAGAGAGGTGAAAGGTGAAAGGGTGGAGAGGGAGGGTGATGATGGTGGGGAGAGGGAGGAGGTTGGAGAGAGGAGGAGGGAGGAGAAGGTGAAGGGATAGAAGGGATGGAAAGGAGGAGAGTAGGAGGGGGAAGGAAAGAGGGGAGGAGAGGGTGAAGAGGAGGTTGATGGAGAAAGGGGAACGAAGGAAGGAGGAAAGAGGGAGAAGGTAATGGAATGGAGGGGAGTGAACGGGGGGAAAGGAGGAGGGGGAAGGAGGGGGAGGATGGGGAGGGGAAGGAGAAGGGAAGCGAGGGGAAGAGCCAGGTAAGGGGGGGGGGGTGAGAAAGAGAAGAGGGAATGGATGGGAGAATAGGGGAATGAGGAGATAGTGAGAAGAAAAGGGAAGAAGGCGATGGGAGAAAGTGGAATTAGATGGGAGGGCGAAAATGTGGAAGAGAAAGGAGGAGGATTGTAGGAAGTAGAAGAATTAAGGAAGAAAGAAATATGAAATAATAGAAGAAATCTCTTTCTTTTCTCTCCCTGAATATATATATATATATATATATTAATATATATATATATATATATATATATATATATACCTATTTTCGTATCTATCCATCTCTCTCTCTCTCTCTATCTATCTATCTACCTATCTCTCTCTCTCTCTCTCTCTCTCTGTCATTTATCTATATACATACGCATACATGCATTGACCTCTCTGTCTGTCACTTTCTTATAGATGTCAACTAACCTTGCACATGACATAAAGAATGGAGACAATATTATTATATTTTCAAGTACTTCGGTGTACATTTATTGTTAGATAGACATTTTTTATCCTGTCATTTATCGAATGTCTATTTACGCATCATTCTATTTGCTTATCTGGCTACTCATCTATTTATTTATTTGTGAATATTTATTCTATCTACCTATCCATTTTTTATCAATCTGCCTTATGTTTGCACATTCTGATCTGTTTTTCTTATTTATTCATTCTTCTATCTCCTTATTCGTTGATCTGTTCGTCTGTTAATCTACCCATTGTCCATCTATTTGAAATCTAGTTGACCATTTTACTGTCTATCTATTTGTTCTTAAACCTATCTATGCGTGCCTTTACTGTCTATCTATTTGTTCTTAAACTTATTTATGCATATCTTTATTAACATAGATTTATCTAACTGGCTATAAAAATGCATACTCTCTATGTATCTATTATATATCTACCTATCTGTTGATCTTTTTACCTTATCTATATATCTAATTACAAATAAACACATTTCCTTGAACACTGTATCTTTATTAATTTACAGATTTATCTAACTGGTATAAAATACATACACTCTATCTATCGTATATCTACTTATCTATTAACCTTCTTACTTTATCTATATATCTATCTACAAATAAACACATTTTCTCGAACACTGTAAACGCAATGTCCGGATAAGATCCTAGTGTGAGTGGTGTGTTCGGATCACTACCCGAGCTGCATCGAAATCACCAACTCAGAGGCTTCGATACCTATTGTTTGTGCGAATTACTTGATGTTTTGGGAGGGACTTATTTTGGCTCTTTTTTTTCTGCGTGCGCGGCTGTGTTTTTTTGGGGGGGTAAATTGTTGGTTTTTGCTTTGGGCTTGCTTATGCATGGTGTTCTCGCATTTTTGGAAAATATATGGTTTGCGGAGATTCTGTGGAAAATCGATGTTTGTGTAACTAATATTCATAAAAATTTACGTATTTACATATAATTTTGTAAAATATTACGTTTCGCTAGATCTGCAAAAATAACTGCATCCATTTTCTCCTTTTCCTTCCATCATGACATCCAAACAAGTACAGAAATTCAAAAACAGAAAAGAAATGGTAAATACACAATACCATAACTCTAAAATTAGTTTAACCCAATACCCATTCTCCTGACCTTACACCATCATGCATTTTAACCTTGACCTTCACCAGGATAGGAACTAGACCACCAGGGCATATGTGTGAGTAAGCAGCACCGTACTAATTTCATGGCATATTCACAAAACAAACTCTTACCTTAAAGATGATGGAAATGTCAGCAGCTCAAATATCTCCTTTTTCCTTCGTGTTGTTTTTTTTTATTCTGTTTCAAAAGTCCATGAGCGGCACTTTGCTTTGTTTATTCATGTGTG